AAAATCTTAAAAAAAAAAAATTAAAGCAGAAGCCCAGGTGAGGAAAGAAAGGAGTTGACAAAAATTAAAGGGAAAGAAACAGGTTAAGATGTGAGAAGAGGGGGAAAAAGGAATTTATTTGATTCTCTTTAATGATTGCCTCAATGGCTGTCATCCCATGGCAGTCCTTTACCGCAAAGAAATAAGCAATATTCACACAGCCTTAGCCCTTTATTTCTGCATATTTGTAATATGATTTTACATTTTGGTGAGTGGAATGAACATTTTAGCTGGGAATGGAACTGAGCAAAGAGGGAAATTTAAGGGTAATTGGTAAAATAACACTTGTCTTTATTCTGTCTTCCCTGCTACCTGCTGTTTTAACTTACAATGTGAATTAGCCTGTAATGATTATGTTATAAGCTCAGTGGGGTACTTTTTCAATGTAGAAAGGGCATATTCCATAAATAGGCCCTTAAAAAAGCATTTGCTTTCCCAAATTAATCTTGTGGGGAGTGTGATTCTCCAGAATTATTGTTTTCACATTCAAAATGATGCTAATGGTATCAGTTATAATCTTTATACATGGCCAGCAATGCTTCCCACGCCTAGTACACCTCAAGTTTATCCCTTAACTGGTATCTCTCCGCACAAGAATGTGTCATTGTTACAGCTTTGGCTGTTTGGATTCTGAAGTTGGTAGAACTGATAAGTTGGTGTTCAAACAAAAACAAAACCCAGGAAAGCCACCTTGTCATTATACCTGCATGTCAGACTTGCCTGCCAACTTATTCTAGATAAACAGATATGTGAAAGCATGCTGACTGAGTTTGGATCTCCATGGTGAAATGTAGATTATGATATACAAATATATTGGTGGAAATCCAAATATACTAAAGACCTTAAAGCAATCTATGGAAATGGTCATTATTGACTTCAGAAGTGAACTTTCATTGTTCTTAACTGCATGGCAATCAGCTCACACCCAGTTTTTTCTTATGACATATTTCCACGTACACACTAATACGGTTAACAATGATTAGAAATGGTCATTCCCACAACTCACATAGTTTTTAAGAATTCAGGGGAAAGTGACTTGTTCAAAGCCAACTAACGCTGATAGAACAGGCACTGGAATTGGCATCTGAAGTGTTATTCTGGAATGGATCTGATTCAAGAGCTTATGGTCTTTGAAATTCTATGTTGGTTTATTTATGATGTGTTTTTCTCATCAGTGCTGCGACAAAAATATAAACTTAATCTTGGTTTATTTACTCAGCCTACTTCATTTAAAATAAAATCTGTGGAATAAAGTAATTCTATAAAGCAGTTCTGCTTTTAGTTTTACCTGAAAAGTAATACATTTTTGTCCATCTCTAGGTGAAGATGCTGCCAACTCCTTCTAAATTTCATTACATTTTCAATCTTCGAGATCTTTCCAGAATTTGGCAAGGAATGTTAACCATAAAAGCCGAGGAGTGTGATTCGATATCTATTCTCCTATCACTTTTCAAACACGAGTGCAACAGAGTAATTGCAGACAGGTGTATACTACAGCACTTGAGTTTAAATGTACTGTATAAGAAGTTGACACCATGAGACTAATTCCTGCATTATCTACTCAAATAATTAGAGTATTGTCTTCACTTGCTCTGGGGCTTGTGAAGCATTGATGCCATTTCCCACCTGCTGGTCCTCTTAAAAAATGCTCTGCCAGTCTGCTTGAGTATTATTTCCACAGCACATTTTTTTAAATCACCACATCATCAGAGACTTGATAACATTCAGAGGCAAATTTTATTATGTGTATTTTCTAGGACATTTGAGCTCCATGTAGCTTTTGCTTGGTGAAATCTGGGAACATAGGCTCAGTCATTGTTCTGAGCCTCAGCTTCCTCCTGTATAAAATATGGATGGTGATGCTGATCTTACAAAGCTGTATGGGCCTACCACAACATTGCACACATATGTGGTATTTCTCAAATGTCGGTCCCCCTCCTTCAGCTCTTCCCCCTCTGATACTGTAGGTCTGAAAAGGACCTTTGTGCGCTGTGTGCTTGCAGAACCAGAAAGTGGACGCTCGTCCACTACTGAATGTCGTCAGTCTGCACTCCTATTGCAAATTTTAGGAACCTTTGACCCCACCTAAGTGACTCATCTGTATTGTTAAAGAAAAAAAAATTATTTGTGACACTTGTTAAAACAATAAGGCATACAGACTTTATTTAGGATTATCACACTGGGTATATGGACCACTGCGATGGGGTTTTGCAGGAGGGGAGAGAAATTGAGCTGAACTCCAAATATGACAAGGGAAGAGTGGGAATTTATAGCCACGGAGCAGTTTAGGGGACGTTGGTGGATGGAAAAACTACTGAGAGGAAATATCAAGGGTAAGGGAGGGATTCTAGCTAAACTTACCTAATAGGATTCTTGCTGAAAGCAGGCTAGGGTGAGTAGATATTACCTGGGGGGTGATGGGGAATGAGGAATTTGGTCAGATATTGAAGAGTGATTAGATATGGGGAGTGGGAGATTCTGGGATTAAACCCACTTGACAGGATTCTTGGTACAATTGGGCAATGCAAAGAAGGACACAGAAGTCCAAAAGTCAAGGCCTAATTGGGAAGAGGATTCAGAGGAGACTAAGGTTGATCAAGGAGAGACTCTTTGCCAGTATTTTTTTTTAAGTAATACTCAGTGTTATAACTCTCCTTAATGGAGTTATGTCCTTGTCTATTCCCCTGTTCTGAGAAGTCCGTGGTGTAGGATGGGGCCTCAGGAAGTGGAGGGAGGTTGGACATGTTCAATTAGGAAAGATGCCTTCATATTTTACATATTTACTCCTGCATTTTTCTTTCAGATTTATAACTCCTGAAGATGAGCAATGGTTTAATATCCATCTTGTTCGAGCAGTTGAAGAGAATATTAACCCAGATGTGACTTCATATATTCTTCCTGAGCCATACTTTGTAGATTTTCTCCGTGAGATGCCTGAACCAACTGGTGATGAACCTGAGGATTCTGTGTTTGAAGTGCCCAAAATTTATGAACTGGTATTTATTTTCACCTTTGAAAAGAGCTTTTCGATTACTCACCTAACTGTATATTTCTCCGCACCCCAGAGTCCCACCATGGAGTTGTAGTAACTTCTACATTAGTTATATGTTGTGATTCATGTCATCATACACCAAGTAAAATATTTCAGTGAAATTTAGCAGTAATCCCATTAAAGTCAGGTATAAGACAAGGATGCCTCCTATCATCACCACTATTTAATACGGGGTTTTGAAAGTTCTAGGCAATGAAACAAATGACCAAAACAAACAAAAAAAGATGTAATTATCAGATAGGAAAAAACAAAAATATTGTGTGCAGATGAGATGATTATCTCTTAATAGAAAAGAACTGAACATCTGTTTTAACTACTAACAGTTCAGTAAGATGACCAAGTGTGAGATAAATACAAAACTCAGTAACTATCCTCTATATGAAAGGCTGGCAAGTTACAGCTGATGGGCCAGATCCAGGTCTCTGTCTGTGTTTTGTGAGATTTGTGAGCTAAAATTTGCATTTTTTAAATGAGTGGCAAAAGAATCAGAAGAAGAATAATATTGTGTGACCTGTGAAAATTACATGGCATTCAAATGCAGCATTCATACACAGAGTTGTATTGGACCACAGTGGATTTGTTTCCTTATGGCCCAGGACCGCTTCTGCACTATGAGGGTGCAGTGGAATAGTTGTGACAAACCCTATGGGCCACAAAGCTTTAATCCTGCCCTTTACAGAAAAAGTTTGCCAACTCTTGGCAACAATCTTGAGATAGAAACTATAACAGGAAGGTACTTCATTCAACAGCAACAAGTATGTAAAACATCTAGGGATAAACATGATAAAACTTTACTTGATTAAATGGCAACACATCATTCTCCCTAAATTAATGTATAGGTTTCATGAAGTTTGAAACAGGACTCCAAAAGGATTTTTTTTCTTTTAGAGAGAGAGAGAGAGCACGTGCATGCACACATGCACGCTTGTGTGGGTAGGGGAGAGGGGTAGACGGAGAGGGAGAGAGAGAGAATCTTTTTTTTTTTTTTTAAAGATTTTATTTATCTGAGAGAGAGAGATAGCAAGAAAGAGCACGAGCAGGGGGGAGAGAGAGAGAAGCAGGCTCCCCACTGAGCAGGGAGCCTGATGTGGGGCTCCATCCAAGGACCCTGGGATCATGACCTGAGCCAAAGGCAGATGCTTAACCGACTGAGCCACCCAAAATCTTAAGCAGGCTCCACGCTCAGCATGGAGCCCAACATGGGGCTCAATCCCACCACCCTGAGATCATGACCTGAGCCGAAACCAAGAGTGAGATGCCCAGTTGACTGAACTACCCAGGTGCCCTGCCAAAAGGACTTTTTTTTTCAAGATTTATTTATTTGAGAGACAGAGAGCCTGGGGGAGGAGCAGAGGGAGAACAGGAGAGAATCCCACGCAGACCTGGTGCTGAGTGCAGAGCTATGTGGGGCTCAATCTCACAACCTGAGATCACGATGTGAGCTGAAAGCAAGAGATAATGCCCAACTGACTGCTCCACTCAGGCACCCCCAAAAAGATTTTTTAAGCAGGGTCACAAACAAAGTAATTCTGAAGTGCATGTAGGTCGAAGAATGGAATGAGGAGATAAAATTGTGCAAAAGAAATAAATGAATATTTACTTCAAAACCATTTGACTGTATCAACAATGTAAAACTTCTGTGTATTTTTTAAGATCTATAAGCAATATTAAAAAGCAAATACAAACAGAGAAATATTTGTTATATTCCAATCTTAGTTCCCATGGGTGGGAATTGGAGCTGGGGTTTTCGAAGGGAAAGGTCAGGGAATGATTTCATACTGGCAACCAGCTAATGCAGTTAAGTTTCAGGCCTCTGAAAATGGAAATAACTGAAAGTCAAGTAATCCATGACAGATGTTTGGA